CAGCTGCTTCTCGCTAGGCAAGAGAGAGAGAAATGAACGCCAGTGAACGCGTGGAGTGATCAAGCGACGTGAAAACCCATTGGATATCCCATCCCAAATCCCCCTCACCACAAGGGCTAATGCCCGCATGGGTGCCGCGTGGCGGGTAAAGCCAAGAAAGGTCCTGGGTCTTGCGGTGAGGGCAGCCCAAGCTGGTAGATTGAATTCCAGAGCAGCTCTGCTGTGAAAATATTTCCTGTGAGAACGCGCAAGCCCAAGAAACCAGGATTAGCAGTAGCTCTCTAGCAAGGATGGATTTCATTTGTCTAGCACATCCATTTCAAGAGCGAGCCTCGAAATGTCCATCTTGTCATTGAAGATTGGTGATGAGACAGTGCATCTCAGCTGCAGCAAACGGGCAAAGAATATTCTTCTACCCCGAGCTTTTCCCCTGGCTGTCAGAACACATGCCCACCTGGATTGCTCCTGCATTTTCTTATTTTCTTTTTTTGATTCCATAAATTTGAATCTATACGTAAAGTACAACTGATAGAAAAAATTAATTGCAAAGGTTTTAGAATTTATTTGCTGCATGCCATCAAAATCTTCTGTTGTTTCATTATTGAAAGTTCAGATTCAAATTCAGCTCCTTGTCCCTAACTTTCTATTTTTAGCAGAGAGACCACAACTCATTGTTTCCAGAGCAGGGCTTTGGAAAATATTCTGAGAAAGGAAAATCCCCAGTAATTTCATTGGCTGATGAGGCTTAAAACTAATATCTGGACAAACAGCTTGCACAAAAAAAGCCTCCAAGCCAAAAAGGACTTAAAGCCAGGCAGGGGAAGAGAATCAAGATTAACTTAGTGTCTTCTCTGATCTCCAATACTTAGGTTTTATAAAAATAAAAATGGAGGGATGGATTCTGGACCTAAAGCCGGTCACGAGCCTGCACATACGTACTTTGTACCTGACAAATCAGCAGGCCTGGCTGATGTTTGTGTAAGAGATGAGGAAGAACTTGTCTATGGGTCTCTGTGCTCCCACCACTTGCTTTGCCCATTGCTGTGCTGTATTTTCCATCCTTGAGAGTCTAGGATTTCACTGTGCTCAAAGAGTGTTCAAATACAAGAGAGCAGACTGCTGCATGGCTGGTAGGATCACCTCTAATGACAGACACTGCTCCTAACAGCCCATGCATAGAATACTTCATCCTCATCAAAGTCAGTTCTGAAGGTTGTGGAGAATTTTTTATATTTCATTTTATTTGTCTTTATGATGGAGCAGGTTGCACCAAAGACCAACTGGTTACAAGCGAGAGCATTTCTTGACCTATTCGCAATGCTAAAGCCCAGACCTCCTGGTTCTGCAGCCAGTGCCTAACCCATGAGGCCACAGCACCTGCCCCTCTGCCAAGAGACTGGACCTCTCTCTGTCCCGCTTACCACATCTAAAACTTGTGGCTAACCAACAGGAGCGGTCTGAACTCTCCTAGTGCTTTGTCATATGTAGACTTCAAAGTGTTTCTTAAAGTGGCTATGCATTACTTACCCATTTCTACTGCCGACCTAAGTATAGAAATTTTTAGCAATGCCTAGACCAGGTGTACCGTGGCCAGATTTCACCAGATGGGGTTTATGTTCCCAGCTTGTTGCAGCACATCACTTAAACTCTGAGCTCACAGTGTCTGATATGGGGAAAAAAAGGGGTAAAACTTCTGTTTGCTTCCTCATGGTTATGGTGTGTAGCTGCTGAAGTGCTTGAGATCTGCAGGCACTAACACCTTATTGCAATGAGAGAGGAATAGTAAGGGTCAGTTCTGTACCCAGCAGTGATAAGCTTCCTCCCTGTGGCAGAAAGATGTTTCAGAGCCTCAGTTTGCCCCATTTCCTTCTGGAATCCCTTCAATCCCACTTGGCCTCCTCAGGAGGGGAGGGACTGGCCCCTACATTGCAGGGATCAGGCAAGCACCTGGATCTGAACCGGAGAGAGAGGAGGCTGAGAGGTAACGAGAATGAGATCTTCAGCTGGAACTTGGAGATGCCTTATTTCAAACATGCTGTCTCATTTCCTAGTCACAAATATTTTTCCTCCACTATTTGTTTTCTCCCAGGTTCAATGACAAAGACCAGTGCTGTGCTTTCAAACGGTACCAATTTCTGGAGCACTCGGTTGTCCCTGCTTTGCTTCTTGCCTGAGCCAGAATAAGGGTCTACCTAGCATTCAGAGCAAGCACAATGAGAGACAGTTTTATTACACAGATACAGGGCTCAAAGAAATGCCAGGCACAATAGGAGACAATCAAAAAAGAATCCCTTTAACAGCTTTTAAGAGAAAAAAAAGTCTTTCTTCATTTAAAATGTCAATTCTGACTTTTCAACAAGATGTTGCTCTATGCATTTCCAAGAACAGGAGCTTGTTTTGCTTCACACATTGAGTTATAACATGGCATGAAATCAACCTTTAAATGGAGCCTGACTTACATATTTTAACTTCTTCCTTGCTCCGTAATACTAACAATACGATTCTCCATTTGGAATTACAGTCTTTCTCTTTTTGCCATGTAATTTGTATGAGATGTATGTGGGATGCATGAAAGGAGGTGGAAATCATGAAGATGGCTAGGAGTACACTTTATTTTATACTTAATACTTCTGGAATTAAAGGGGAAATGGAAATTGGCCATGTAACGGATCTTAGCTACAGAGAATTATCATCTTTCGGTAATAAAGTATTGCCTGTCTCAAGGGCTCACACACACAGCTTGACCTCAGAGCAGTTGCACATAATGTTTTCTCTGTCAAGAGAATCTCTTTGTAATAATGTGTCACAGGTGCTCACACATAATATGTTTCCCATCAAAAGTGATCATCCATATTTTATACAGCAGCTTTGATGACAAATATTTTGTACTTCAGCTGCTTTTTCTTCCCTCTGTCAGACTTAATGAAGAAACGTCACGGCTAGTTTTTAAATAATGTCAGCTTCTTAGATCACGTTACTGTGTCCACCTTTGAAAGTAGCTTCATGCAAGAGCCACAAGACCGGGGAGATCGAGACAAGGACATTTTCATTTACTTAACCTTAAAAAGAAAGCCAATTTTTCAGGCTCTTAATTTCAAAATCAATATACTCTGTATCTTTGGAATCTTCTCAGGAAAAAATAGGCTATACTTATTGAGTACTCAATATTTTGAGAGTCAAGTGAAAGCAAGTCTGATAACTGAATTGAGGTTGCAGTTTCTCACTATGCAGAATGATGTTTATTCTCATAGTAGTGGTGTGTCCTGGTGGTAAAAACACTTTCCTCCAGGTTGTTCTACAAAGTGAGTGCCTCAGGGGGTACAGATAATGAGGTTCTTATATTCTCATTGAAATTGTCCGCAGCAGGGCCAAAGTTTGCTCTTCTCCTATGTGTTCAGCCCTACTGAGAGAAACAACCCTCATTCCTCATTCTATTAATGAAAGAGGAAAAGTGAACTTGAACTCCCTTTGCAGTTTCTCAGATTGCGGGACTGGTCATTGAAGCCTCAGAGCATAGAGGAATGCTTTTCCCATTCATGGGGCATGACTTTTCTGCCAAAACTATACGTGAACAAAGTACTTCGTGAACTTCCCTGCCACCAAGCAAACTCCCCTAAGCTAGCAGAGAGTGGTGGCTTTCAACCTGTAAGCCATGGATTCATATGGGCTTCTGGTCTGCCTCCAAGGGATCCACAGAAGGGAGCTGACAAAAGCAAGTTCATTGTGTATGCAAGCTATTTAGCCGTGTCTGCAGATAAATATAAAATCAAAACACTAAAATAGGCAAAGTATGGCATGTGCATGTTTATAAAATTATCACTGGCCTGAGAAGAAGGCAGAACAGGAAGCCAACAGTATTTACAAATAGGATTTACAAACGTAAATGAGGACTGGGTTTCTCTTACATATGAAATATAACCAGATGTCTCAGGTTGAGAGATGAAAGCTTACACTTAGAAAAATACCTGGGTTTTTCATACAAGACAAGGCCAAAAAAGAAGGGACACAGGGTCTGGAGCTATTTGATGCTTAATTATTTTTCAGATCCAACACCTATTTAAGAATGCAACCAAGAAGGAATTAAAAGTAGGTAACAACTTCTAAATTACAGGACGATGCAAAACATTATTCTCTACCACTGAGAAGTAATACACTGATTAATGCCTGCTACTGAAAAGATAGTCTGCAATAACATCCTCTTTTCTGCTAGCCCCAAGCCCCTAAAGAAAAACTGAATAGTGTTAAGCAGTGAGTGTAATAAGTTTTCCTTTCCTTGTCTGAAGAATTAGAACAATTCAATTGAAAGGCAAATATAATCCTACCTATGCTCCATGCTGGGACTGGAGCAGGGTAAATCCCACAGTTAAGTCTGAACATCAGGTTGTAATTGTCAGAGATTAAAAACATGCCAGAAAGAACATTCCAGGGAAAGAAGGAGGGTGAGAAGGATGGCTCTCCTGCGTCTTTTTATTAAGGCAAACTAGCAGCAGATCTTACAGGGGCATACTCCTGCACAGCAGAACTCAATCAAATGGCATTTAGTCAATGAAGGAAATTATACACTGGGTTGATTTTTAATCATCCAGCTAGGAAAAGCAAAGATAAGTGAACATGTATTTATCTGCTGAGCCAAATGCATACAAGGCAGAAAAGCCACTGAAAATAACTAAAAGAAAAATAACTATTCTCTAGGATGCTGCTGTTCCATAAAATCTATTTCAAATATAATTTGCTGTTAGCTTTTTCTGCAAGATGTGAGCACATCAGCTGGGCTTCTCATTTTTATGCAGATGAAATAATCACTGAAATGAAACGTCAGGTCATAAGAGACACAAGAAAAAATGAAGCAATCTTTAAGAGCTGTCAGAGAGGTGGATGGTCCACCCTTCCAAGTACAGAAGAACCATTATTTCACAGCCTTGACTAATATCTTGTTCTCTCACCGTTTTGTTTTGGTTTGTTTTTTTTTTTTTTTTTTTTTTTAATTCTTGTCTTCTCAGTGCATCCTAACGTGAGCCAGGGTTGCCAAGGAGGGTGTGCTACATGTTCTGACTACAACGGATGCCTGTCATGTAAGCCCAGGCTCTTTTTTGTTCTGGAGAGGATTGGCATGAAACAGATCGGAGTATGTCTTTCCTCGTGTCCAAGCGGATACTATGGGACACGGTACCCCGACATTAATAAGTGTGCAAGTAAGTGCTGGGGAAAGGGGAATCACAAGGATTTGTTTGTTCTCTCTTGAATGCTGTGTCCCTTTAGGAGTCAAGTCAACAGAGAAGCAGACGGACAGGCCGTGTCTTTATTTGTTCACTTCTTTTATAGTAGTGCAGTAGATACTAACCCGAGCAAGAAGTTAAAGCGAAAGATCACAAAACGGCCTAAAGCTCAGGGATCCCAGCTCTGCGTGAATGACCTGCCTAGGACCCAGGTGATGGTCTCCTCCTCTACACCCCCATGCGAAAGGGAAGTGCTGGTGGGTGCCAGGCATTGCCCTCCAGCAGCAAGAGGGAGCGGTGGCAGCTCCGAAGAGCGGGGGCCGAGGGATGCCAAATCTCAGTGGCTGGAGCCATTTAACCCACTGTCCTTACCCGCCTGACCCCTGTGACAAGGAGAGAAGATGGCAGGTGGCATTCTTTGGAGATGCGGTTTGCCCTGGTCTCTTTATAGCTTGTTTTACTCTCAGTGTAGTCCTCTAAATGCCTGTAGCAGCTGGCCAAGTTTCAGCCTGATTTGGGGGAAGTTACCGATTCATGTTGCCTCCCAGATGGGAGACAGAGAACCCAACTCTATTTACCGCTCGGGCAACATTTTGACCCCACTATGTATTTTGAAGCATAAATGAACTGGAAAAGATCACAATGTCCTCTCCACTCCTCTTTTTGTTGTTGAATTCACTGTTTTTAATCCCGCAGGTGATATAAAAACATAAGAGCGACGGCCAAGCAACCCTCCCAGTTTTTACCTGGTAATAAAAGTTATTTAATGAACGGACCCCAGAGTAAAGTCTTACAGAGTAACTTGACACTGTAAAGTATTTGCTCACTTCTTAGCAGTGTGTGGCCTTGCATCTCAGACATGAGCTGTGCCATACACAAGTTTTTATGTATTTCTTTTAAAAATATCTGAGAACTGGGAAATATACCACTGATGCTAATTTGGGTAGTCATATAGAGAACACATGAAATACTACAGGACATCTGATTGAACATCAGGGAGTCATTTAAAAAAAGAAAAAGATGTTGATGCAGAACAGTCTTAAGCAGATTCTGAATTCTGGCATATTTTTATTTCTCCTGGATGAATGGAGATAGATGGTGTGGAACTGGCCCAGTACCTGTGCCCTGTGGGGTTAGTTAGTACCTATGCTGTGTCAGTGTAGGGCAGAAGCAGTATATTGTTATTCTGATGTGCTGTGCTCTGTCTTCCATTTGCATAGGTCTGCAAGAAGACAAGCAGTGTGAGGCCGTTCAGCATCAGGCCTTCCTTATTTAATCCTCACTCATGCCAAGGTCACTTGTGGCTGGCCTCACTGTGTGTATAGGCCACGAAGAAGATCTAAATATAAATTGTTTCCTTTGAAGATTGCTTAACTTTGCTAGAACTGTGTGATTCTCGTATATGTGAGAGAGCCCATGGTGTTTCATGGCAAAGAGCAACAACATTGCTGTTTACTGTTTGCATTTCAGAATGTAAAGCTGACTGTGATACCTGCTTCACCAGAAACTTCTGCACAAAGTGTAAAAGTGGGTTTTACTTATACAGTGGAAAGTGCCTTGAAAAGTGCCCTGACGGGCTGGAAGCCAACAATCACACGATGGAGTGCACTAGCATCGGTAAGTCCGCTCCCCCGTGTCCTGCCTGGTTTTCTCACAGGGGATGGGGGATCTAAGGAGGGCATGAGTTGCAAGATCAGTTACACCACCAGGGAAGTGCAACTTAAAATGGCAATGTTCTGCATGACAAGATGTATTCCCAAGCACAACAAACTCAAGGTATTTCCCAAGCCTGCTATTTCACAAGAGGCACAAGCTCAGTTGTGCCCCACAAACACAGCCTTGACGCTAAGGGCAATTCTGCCTCAGGAAATACGGCCTGTTTGGTCTGCCCTGAGGTAGAATGACATCCATCTCTTACTTGCTCTGTTACAGTGTTATGCATCACTGCTAACATCAAAGGTTCAAAAATCCTGAGCCAGACCCCACATGTAGTTGAAAGATTAAAATACTAACTGCTTTGCTTTAGCTCCCTTCTACTACCTGAGCCTTCAAAGCACGCGTGCATCAACATTTTGAAGCTAACCTTCACAAAGGTGAAGGCTAGAAACTAAAACATTAAGGAAAAAAAAAACCACAAAACCCCAAAAGACCCAAAATGGTATATGTGCATAATCACCTGACTCCAGAATTTGAGGATTAAAATAAAACACCAAATGGTGTGGCACTGTCACTGAAGGAATGAGATAGGCGACACTGGTCCTGTGACTCACTGGCTGCGGAGAAGAGACCTGCTTTTGTATCTCTTCAGCCTCTGACTCACAAGCTCCGATTATTCACACCAGAGCAATTTTGGAGGTCACCACACCTAACTGTCTGCTCCATCCCTCTGCCACCCCTCTGGCTGAAAGCAGAACGAGTGATATATTTGCCTCCGGGATGCTGTAGCTGACATCCCCTGCCATGGGCATGCCGAAGCTGCGGCAAGGTTCAGCTTATTTTAGTACGCTGGCTGTGAATTGTGGTGGCTGAGGGCTGCGAACTGCGGTGGAAGCGGTAACCTCTTCAGCCACCAGCAACCAGGGAGCACTTAGGCGCAGTCTGGCCATGATGGAAATCTCCTCCCCCACAGTATCATGCACATAGCTCTCCCTGGCATTGCGTGTTTTGGAGGGGAAATAATGCAGGAATAAAAATAATGTACAGTAGTTTGGCATTTTCCTGCTCAAATATATATTAGTTCAGGTGGTAGTGATGGTTTTTACAGTTTTGTTTTCAAGCAAAGGCTTTCATCTATGAAATAAATTCAAGGGATCATTTTTGTTTCTTGATGGCTGTTTCCAAGTGCTGTAGACTTAGCTGCTTTAACAATGAGTCAGTCTCAACTAGGAAAGCCATTTAAAGCTGCGGACGAAAAACAGAACCTTTTTGCCCACGTGAAGGCCAGTTATTTTAATAGGAGAGCTCCAGTGTAATATGAAAAACAAAATGACCCACATGACAATTCACTGGAGGAAGGCTCAGAGATTGCCTGCGGTCAGTTATATTTTTAGGTTTTGAAAAATTTGGAAGTAAATTCTGGAGCTGGAAAAATGTTGACTTAGAAATTCGTCCTTATAGAGGGGCTGGAATTCTTTCCTTCTTCAGCGGTGGTTTATAGTCTTAAGCACGCATGTGAACAAAAAGTAAATATAAATGTTTACTATCTTTTATCAAGAGAAGGATACTGAGGAAATGGCACAAAAGAAGGATAGTTATTAAAAGCATGTTGTTAAGCTTCCAAGGTTACTCCCATTTTTGTCTACACTGTCTGGACAAGTGTCCAGCTGTACACCTTTTGAGTTCCCAATAGTATGGGACTATTGGGAATAGTATGGCACATTCAGATCACTGTGGTTTATAAACTGTAACCCACACTTTTCTGAAAAACTTCCACCCCCCCAACCCAAATTCACCTCTGCTTTGCCTACTTACGGCTTGAATATGCTACAGATGATGGCTCTTTCACTATTTAAGTTGAATACCAAGCAGCAGATCACCAAAGATACTCGATTCTTAATGTAATGCCTTTCGATATCAGTTGGTCCTTTATAACTCTATTGATTTCCAAATTCAATACCTTTGAGACCAGCTGCAGCAGCATGACCCAATGACTTCACTCTCCTCTCACATAGGCATGACCAAATTTTAATTCCACTGAAGCTACAAGGATTTATACCTCCACAAAACCACAGCAACCTCAGAACAAGCCCCAGTAACTGATTTCATTGAGACCAATTGTGGTGGTGTTGCCTCGTTTCATGAATGGAATTACAAAAGAGTACAAAATAGTAACTGACATAATTATTTGGCATTATTTTGTGCAGTATATCCTCAGCAGTTCAATTTCTGTCAATTCCCTGCTGAAAATCCTGATTAATTCCATTAATTTTTGCCACCTTTTGGCTGCTGCAGAATAAAATTAATGTACCATATTTATCGTGTATACAAAAAGATATTGGCCAGGCTCAGCTTGTCCTATGTTTATTGCAGTGCACTGTGAAGCTAGTGAGTGGAGTCCATGGAGCCCTTGCACAAAGAAAGGAAAAACATGTGGTTTCAAAAGAGGAAATGAAGTAAGGGTCAGAGAGATCGTACAGCATCCGTCAGCAAGGGGCAATCCTTGCCCAGCTACAAGCGAGAGCAGAAAATGTATTGTACAAAGAAAGAGATGTCAGAAGGAAGGAAAAGGTACAACATTATCATCGTCATAATATGAGATTGGTATTGTGCTTGTTTAATAACTCACATCTGAATTGCCAGGCCTCGACTGCAGGCTTCAACAAAGATCCCATTGATGTGGTGTTCTTCGGGCTGGAGAGAGCTGTGCCCTTGCCTGAAGTAAATAAAGTACTAACGCTGCTCAAAAAATGCGCTTTGTGTGATCTAGAGAGGACAGGGTGGGCTGGATGGGAAGGCACATCCTCCCTCCGTTCTGCTGAAAGAGCTGCCAAGATGAGGGCTTGCATGTGGAGCTCAGAACAAAGAGATCCATTGTAAAACATGTCATGGTGGGAGTTGTTTTTTGGGTACCAGGCAGCCAAGTTTCATGCTTCAACCATGGGATTCCTCCAAACCGATTCCTATTTCATGCTTCCCTACAGGTAAGACCATAACTCTTGCAGTTGCAGCGCTGTGGCCTCTCTCCCACCCTGAACTCTTTCTACCAGCTCTGGCTGAACAACATGGCCTGATTCTACCATCTGCACCAGGGTGATGGAGTCCCAGCATGGGAGAAAGACCACAGCACTGTGCAGCAGCCAGGGGAAACTCCACTTGGTTCTACCCAGTAAGCAAGAGTGCCAGCAGAACTGCCCCTCCATGCGAGCCAGCTTGTTGGACTTATTCCCCATCATGGCACCTAGTGAATGGCATCCCACATGTTAAGAATGGGAGATGCTTAAGAAGTCTATGAAATAATAATTTATAAAAATTCTACCCAGCAGAGAGTGTTGTTCCCTTGCTCCTTTTTCTCCCCTTCTTGCAGCAGGGAAGTTACTTGCTCTGTCCCCACTGCAGCCTCTCTGGTTGGCACAGGAGTGTCGATGGAATATTTCCTTTTCCCCCTCCCTCCCATTTTCCCCATCCTTCCCATTTCCCCATGCCTTCTATTTCCCCCTTTCCTCCCAACTCAAAAGCAAGGTTTCACCCCTTTTGAGGATGAGTGGAACAGGTGGAGCAGCTGCCTCTGTGTGAACATCTGTGAGCCATCATGAGCTGCTGGTACCAAGTAGTAACTTACTGTTTCACTGTTACATAGCTGCTAGGGTTGCTGCAGGTTACTTATAGAAATGTTAAAGGGGTTTGGAGCTTGTAATCCTTTTGAAAGTTGGCTTGTTCCCTGGGGATATACCTCATCAGAAGGGAAATAATGTTAGAAGGAGGATCTTATGAACCAGAGAGCTACAGGTGCCTCCCCCTCACCCACGAACTGGCTAGATGTACTGATTTATGGGAACCTATGAGGTAGATGTCACCTCCTCCTCCTTGTGTCAGGCAGTGCCTTGAAGAGGTAGAGAGGTGTATCTGCCTCAGGGGAGCAGCCAAGGCAAGCTATTTAAGGATTCTCTTATGCTTAGAATCTATGTATGTCCAAAATGTCCATGCTTGCTTCTGCTCCTGCACAATGGCACAACTTGAAACACAGCCTCTCATTAGCCCACTGTAACTGGGGGAAGAGTCCTTTTTTTTTCTACCAAAGCTAATTTTGCCAGAGCTGAAAATATAGGACTGAACTGTAATTTTGGAACTGAGAAACTGGGTTTTTCTGGGATGATAATGATGCTGTGTATTTGCTTATGGCAATTTGGCAATCTCTTCAGACTGGACAAGACATTTCTCTTTGAGAAGTGCCTGCTGTTCCTGGGTAGTAAATACTTTAGAAGAAACTACTCACGTATTTTACTGTCAATTCTTATTTCATGGGATCTGAGCCAAACCATACTTGAAAAATACTGCACACCACAAGAATTCGTTCACCATCATGAATCTTTCTTTTTTTTTCCTGCAATGTGCATAAAGGTGGGGTTTTTTCCTTCCTTTTGAGCAAGTCACAGACTATATTCTAGCCTGTTTTACACTCAGTAGACAATTCCTTCAAAATCAATGCAGGCAGATGGAACCTGTGTTCCAACTCTACCCGTGCCCTTGGGATTTGTATGTCTATGTCTGAGAGCCATTTTTTTTTTTTTTAATGTTCTGAAATCCACCATTACTTACTCCTCAGTATCCACAAAAGTCTGTCCCATTCACTTTTATACACCTTCACAGGAAGACGAATTTAAATTTTTTTTTAAAAAAGATAATTCTTAATAAAACTGGGGAAATTCACACATGAAACATTAGGTTAAAATAGCTTTAAGGGATGGATTATGGTGACAAGACAGGAAACTGAGAATTAAGCTAAAAGTTTTCCTTCTGTTGGAACTGGAATGGGGAAATTAAGCTTTCGAATGTAATCTCCAGGCAACTTATCTTCCCTACTGCCACTGTCCCTTATTACACAGAGAGAAACTTCTTTTTCCCTTTGAACAACAGAATAATTGCACGAGAAACCAAGCCAGGCTCTGTTCTTCTGACTAGCTGTGTCCAGTCAGTGCGTGCAGAAGGAGGTAACAACAAAAACACTTTGGGAAAGGGAAGGGAAAGTAAATATGCTTGTATTTACGGTTCAGAAATATTGAAAATGTATTGTACGTCTCCCCATTGCCGCTCAGGCGTTGCTTTGGAGTTTAGCTTTCACAGCATCGGCTTTTGAAAGTCTAGCAGCAGATGCAGCAGTTACCAGCAGTGCTGCTAATCTTTTCTCCGCGGCCATGAGGAGAGGGTTAGCTCAGTCAGCCTCTGCCATTTCCATGTTGAATAGATATCTGTGGCCGAGGGAGTTAGGGCAAAGACCACATGATGACGGGGTATGCTCGTCACAGATGCCTCAATGACTTTGCTCGAGAAGTTGAGGTCAGAGACAGGATGTTAGTCAGTTAGGTCGCTGCTATCACACAGAAGCAAGGACATGTTTCTGGAACGGCTACGCAAAACAAGATAAAATGGATGAAGAGGGGTTTTTTTTGTTTCCATCTGCTGTTGTGTCATTAAAGCTGGTGAGATCTATTACAAATCTTTTTTTCCCTCACTGGCTATAAAATGAAGTTTTACTGGGAGAAGGTGCTAGTATTTTCAGAATGCATGCAAACAAATGGGAATAATGAGGATACAAATAGCCCCACTAACCTAAAAGGTTCTTTTTACTCATTTTAGCACTAAATTAGTTGATCCCAGTGTGTTCTGATGTGGTAATTCCCATGTGTTTCACATACAGGCTCCCTTTATAGTTCATTCCCATGCAAACCTCACTGTAATTTATTTCATAATTCTCCTCTTTTAATCCCATGATGGTGAGTTCTTTTTAGTCTGCATGACTATATGATTTTAAGTTCCAGTTTTTTCTTCCTTTCTTTCCCTCACACTTTTTGTTTTGTTCCCCCAGTGCAGTGCACTGTTACTTTTACCTTCCCACACTTACCTTCTTGGCTCCTACTTTTCACTGACAGACATACGTTGAGAGTCACGTGTTTCCTGTAGCCATGACCATTAATGGCAAATGGCAAATAGATGTATTGGAAAAGCATAACTTGCAGAGCTCTTAAAACACTTCAAATTATCCATCAATATTATTTCTTTGCCTTAATAAATGTGCTCTGGCCAAACACAAGTCCCTGCGGACTGCTGTCCACAAATGTGTGAGATGATTGACTTTTACTGTCCAAAAGACAAATATCAGAATTGCATACAAAAGTATCTGTGGGGAAGGAATTGCATGTTTTCATGCATGAGTAATTCTGCCAAGAAGAGAACATTCACCATGTGACTTTCTGTTGAGTCCCAACTAAACCCCCCAGAGAGCAGACAGTTTAAGTGCTTTCAGAGAACATGTTCTGATCAGTTTGAAGAGACTAAAAACACTCACCAAAAGACTAAGTGCATAGTTATGAACAAGGAAGACATCTTAGAAAGCTGGGTATTATGCAAGCCAATAGATAGGCTACATTGGTTACACAGTTGTATTGTTGTAAACAAATAAATAATACATTTCAATTGTTGCTTGTTCATATATTGATTCATTTGCATGCTGGTGGCATTTAGATGTTCAAAGGAGAGAGCCAATGTTAACTGCATCCAGTTCTGTGCAAACACAGACTAAAAAAAGTTCCTGTTCCTGACAGGCAAAAATTCAAGCATTAGACATGAAGACGTGGTGAGATGAACGTAGAATAGCCTATTTCTTTTTCACTGTGGAGTGTAGGCATTGTCACCTTTTACAGTATGAAAGCAGGATACTGTTATGAAAGAAAGAGGGGCAATTTTAGTCAAAATTCACAAGACTGCAACCCCCTGGAGGCAAGGTAGCTTGTCAGTTAATGGTTTGTGCTGTAAGGAGAATACAGGTATTATGCTGTGACTTTTTTTTAGTGCACGGCAAGAATAAGAGAGAAAGCAGTGTCTTTGAGATGAGGAGATGAATTCTAGATGCAGACTGGCAAACAGAAGGGAACAGGATTTGTTGAGTAGTTTTAATGAGGAAGTGTATATATTTTGGGGAAATAAAGTAAAATAAATTCTTCTATCCTGCATTGCATACATGTGAATATAAAAATCCAGATTTTATTTGAATAGCTTAGAGAACTGAGACTCAGGTCATCTCTGTTGTTAATTTGAACTCCACCCCTTATTGCTATATGTCCGCATAATGCTTCAAACATATTAGCCAGATCATGTCTGAAAATGTCTCCAGTTGGCTATGGTGTGAGGAAGGAATCCTATCAGGCATCCATCAGATTTCCAAAACCACCACTCAGCTAAAAATCCCAAGCCATTCATCAAGAATTTAGCTGAAAACAATGTAACTTAATACTAACAAACTTACTTAAAATATTAGGCAATAAACTAATTTCACTCACATAAACTCATTGAGTTACCCACCCTAATGTACACGGTCTGATGCTGTATGGATCCATGTAACAACGGAGCACAGAGGGCTCTGGAGTCTAAACTAAGTTGCCCCTTTAGTATTTCTCACAAAGAAAAGTTTCTGCAGTTGATCTGCAGTTGAGATGCACTAATTTCATTAACAGTCAGTTATGCTGTCCCAGGCAAAACAGAGAAAGAAAAAGAGAGCCCCTACTAAAATAAAA